GACATGGCACGTCGAACTAGAATAGTCTACCCCAGGGAGCGAAATAAAGGGTTCAGTTTGACATTTAAACCACCTGAAGAAAGCTGGAGTGTACAACAGCCAAAATGTTGTGATAAATATGGCAACAAAGATGAAGATGATAGTCCGAACAATATAAATAGTGAAGACAGAAGTAGCAGCAAATATATCCCAAGTGTCACTTACCTACCTCCCAGATAATGACAGGTAAATCCAGGAATAAAGAGGCCAGTATATTAAAAACAGGATTCATGTTTTCCTTTATCAATATATTTTAACTTCCATTCTTTTGTTAAACATAAACTGGGTCTTTCCCAGTTTTTGTTCACACCGGTACAAATGGGATTGAACCCATAGTGTGGGGCAGAAGTTACCTAGTCACTGAAGAACTAACCAAGCACCTGGCTGTATGCTTGCAATAACAGTGAGCCTATAAACAATTCCCTTTTTCTGAGTTTAATAGTTATAGAAATTAATTATTGCTTGATACTCCAAGATTGACACTGATAAAACATCTTTATTGACTGAGCTAGTAAAGTTGTTATGGGAGAGTGAATTACCCAAGTGTTCACTCCCCCATTTTTTTCTCCATCAATTATCCCAATGTGACATGCTGGTGACATTTATATTTTGTTATGATATTTAATAGGTCAGAATACAGGGAGAAGTAGATTCATGTCTTTTCCAGAAGACATTAGTGCAATTTGAATATAAGCACCCTCAGTTTGCTGGTTTCATTTTCTCTGCCACAGACGGCCATTGTAAATTATGAAAGAATTCCATGGTGCTAAAAATCATTTTCTTTAAACATATATATATAGGTACATCAATGAATCCATAGCCTAAAGATAAAGAAACATCTGTTTTATGTGATAAATATTTCTTATCAATGAATTTCTGTTAATCACACAGATGATTTTTTATGCTTTTGTTCAAATAATACAAGGCCCAAGAGCCACTCAACGTTACTAAATGTGATTGTTTTGCAAACATAAGTATTGTAGATTATGAGGATATGTAGGATAGATAATGGTTGATTCCCAGACTTGAAGAGGTTAAGATTGTAGTGGTCAAAGGAGCATCCTCTGAGGGGTCTGTTCCACAAAGCAGTGAACTTCCTCCTTACTAATGAAATACAAAGGGAATGAGGATGGTTCACTCTTGTGTACAATGACATAGCAGGTTTTAGATGCAATGGCCTGAACTGGTGGAATTAATGAATTTAGCTCATCAGAACATTTTGCATGGAAACAGCAATAGAGTGGTGATAGGCTTGTGAGATTGTGCCTGTGGGAAAAGGGTTGTAAGACAAATAATGAGGAAAGAGGGCTTGGTGAATTTGACTTCCACAGGATATATTAAAGGCAAGAAGGACAGAGTAAAGCTGTGAATAACCTACCTAACAAGCTTGTGTAAATGGTTGTCAGAACAGGGGTTAGGAGAGATAGAAAAAAGACAAAACTTAGTAAAAGCGACAAAGGACAGGAAGTTGTGGAGACTCATGATCGCCCACATCCTGAAGGAGCATTGTACATAGAAGTAGAAAAAGAGTTGACTTGATTAGTCTTTTAATTTTATCTATTCCAATTGTGGAGTAACATGATGACATTTTATGACAAAAAAAGTGGCATTGAGTAGCATTATCATCAACATAAGCACTGATTTTTCAGTGATTTTAAAAGAAATTATCATCATGTAAAATGCAAACCAAAGTTCATTAGATCTGATAATTTTAAAAAAATAATTTTTCACAATTAATATCACATGATCTTGCTCATCTGAACGAGATATTTTTTTATTTAAACCACTTTCTTTTTTAAAGATCTTTATTAAAAATCAATAATGCAAAGAGTTTTCCTCAATATATTTTGAAATTCAACAGCTATAGATTTGATATCTTTAACAATAAATATATAGCAATACAAAAAGATGTTCTGATCTTGAATCATTCGGTTAGAGTTTGGAAAGTAGGTCAGGCTGAAAACTTTTCAGCACTTTCTTGTAATTATATATTTTCTATATTGCCAAGAAAATACGTATTCTCTACTCAAGACCACCATTTTTAAAATCAGCACACACACACACACACACACACAAAAAAAAAAAAAAAAAGGAGGAAAGATTTTAGATCAAAGAAACTGCCTCCAGGGATAAGGGAAGAGGCACATGGGAGGGAGAAATAACTTTGTGGATACATTTCTAAGTGTACAGTGTAACACTCCCATGGATTTGTAAGTTGAAGGTAGCAGTATGTAATTTGGTTTGTACTGAATACCGAGCAAGCCTATCAAATATACTTCTTTTAGAGTTTATGTTCACTCAAGCAATCAACATGTGTCTTTTTACACGACAGGCTCAATAGATGCAGAAAGGAAATGTTTCATTAAGTTGGAACTTGTGAAAAGCACAACAGTTAAGAATTGGGTGGGGGCACTTGTAGTAAATAAATTTCAAATGTGTGTGTATACTTATATATATATATATATATATATAGACCAGGTGTAACAGCAAAATTGTACAAATCCTGTAACAGCATAGGATAACTGTCCATCCCATTTTTTGATATCTAAAAAAAAACACTGAACTAATTATTACTTTTTCCAGGTTTTTCAGATAAGACATTAACCCATCTTGACACCATTTGTCATAAGAATCACTGAAAATCCCTTTGAGTTATTCAGCTAGAAAGAGAACAGGATAAAATTGTTTTGTGTCAGCCGCACTATGTCTTCCCCACTGAGCAATGGTAAGAGGAAAAATATCATTCAGGCCTTCAGTAATGGTATCAACATTTATATTTTGGCTTCCATCTTCAAAGTCCATTCAAGAACCATCAAAAGAATGGTGAATAAATTTAAAAAGGAGGGAACAATAGAGAAGAAAACTGAATCAGGAGGTCACAGTGGCAGGAGGGATCATCATTTCAACTTAGAGAGCTAAATATATTCTTATTGTTCAAAGTAGAGTCCAATAGTGTTATAAAAACCTAGGAAAATTCCAGTAATATATCTTTAATCATTTCTAAGACACAATGGTTAAATCTTAATCTAACAATTGAACAATTTTGCTGTTACACCTGATATACATATACATATATATATGTGTGTGTGTGTGTGTGTGTGCAAATATATCGATGAAATAGGAAAGAACCGTTAGATTGATGATCTGAAGTTATTTTTGTTTTATTTTTAATAAACAGTGCTCAATACACAAGTAGAGCTTAGATTTAAAAAAAAATTAATTATAACATATATATATATATATATATATATATATATATATATATATACACACACACACTGCGTGCTAAATTATTATCGAGATAACTTTTTTCTAATATTTCAAAAACTGTCCAATCAATTCACACAAAATTTTCACCCAATGCTGGCAACACTGATCTGCACAAACACTGAAATTTTTGTACTGATCTGCACAATGTAAACAAACTAAATGCATGTCTAAATTATGGCTATAAGAAATGATGCTACTACCTAATTTTTTAAAAATTTAACTATATTGTAAGGTAAAAGATAAACTGTGTTGGCAATTTAAAGTTAATTCACTTCTTTGGTTTAGCAGAGATTTTTTTTTTGTCAGCAAATCAAATAATTTCTAATTTTTCATGTAAGCATAAGACACAAGGTACATTTAAAAATTTACAGGTTTTAGGTAGAACCTGTAAATCTTTAAATTCTTAAAATACTAAGGGTTACTTGAATTATAGTAAGCTTTTCCATTTATGATTAGTAATTATAGAAAGTTCATTGAGACTGTCTTTAAGAAATGTAATAAGAGTGGTTTTTCTAGTGAGGGTCAAATGTATCATATACAGATGTTATATCCCTGAAAAAAGCGACATGAATGAAGTCAAAATATACTGGACCATCTTTCCCATAATGCAAAAAAAATGATACTTAAATTGAACCTCAAGAAGAAACAAGGCATAGTCACAACTTAACATTTAAATAAATGGAACAGAAATTGATCAAGTGACTGATATTTTATATCTATAATACAAGCTATTTTTCAAGAACAATAAAGAATTTGCAGTAAAACACTATATAACCCTTGTATGAGCTGCTTCTGGAAAATGTAAGACTATGCTAAAATGAAAAAGTAAGAAGGAGAGTTATGCTCATTTTTTCTTTCAAAAAATCAGTCATTTAAATGCACTCTAAATATTTGTGAACCATCTTTCCCATAACACAAAAAATAGTCCTTGAATTGAATCACAAGAAGACTTTTTTAATGGTAACAAACAACTTGACATCCAAATAAATGGAATAAAAATTGAAGAGGGATTTGTTGATCCTGGTCATAGACAATAGTGCAAAGATGACCAAAAAGTTACAGTAAAATGCTGAATAACCCTTTGTTGGGTTGGTTTTGGAAAACAATGCTATGCTGAAATCAATAATTCACACTAAAATGAAGATATATACCTTATATACAGCCTTTCATGTTTTATATGATTTAGATTCTTTGACATCCACTCAAAACTTTTAGTTCAAATTGAAAATTTCCAAAACCATAAGATCCTCACAAATCACAAGCTGATAAACAAAGTTAAAATAACCACCCTTAGAAATGTAACCAATTTGCTTTCATTCTTTAATACCATCTGTAACAAATCCTTGAAATTATTTGGACTCATTAAAAGATGTACCAAAGGGATTGCTAAATTGTCATGAGGGTATGTTTTTTATTGATTTGTTTTTTACAGCTTATCAATCATTTGCAGGTTATTTAAACCCAGTAAATACTTTTAGATTGTAAGAATTTTTTGTGGGGAAATAATAATGATTCAGTGATACAAGTTTTACTAATTAACCCATTGCTTAGGGAGGAGAAGGGGGAATTCATTCCTTTTCCAAGGGTATTTGCGTGTAAGCGAATATAATGAATCTGACTGGAATTGGAACTTGGTTCTCCGATTAATAATTCAGAGTCATTATCCATTACCCCACCCAGACATTGAAGCTTATAGCACCTGATATTCTCAAGTGGTCACCCATCTAGGTACTGACCAGGATCAACATTGCTTAACTTTGGTGATTGTATGGGAACTGGTGTTTCAACATGATGTGGCTGTAAGCAAAAAGATGTAGTAAAGGGTTTGTCAAATTGTCTTGAAGGTATGGTGCCTGGTAAAAGAATATACATGTAAATATATATATATGATTAGTTTTAATTAACTTATTATTTGTAATCAATTGATATTATGGTGTTTGGAAAGTAATTATGTATTTCACCATTATGAATTATGAGTCAACCTACCAAGGTAGAACCAAAGTTGGTTAAAACAAATCTGTGTTTAGAATTAGTTTATTATCTCTTCTATCTGATAGTATATTGTTTATAGAATATTTCAGAGTTCAATTAGGAAAACTTGCAAAGACAGAATTTGGGTTCCTCATGAGCTAAAGGACAAAACATCAATTGTAAGAAGAGAGAATGTATAAGATGTGAACTACAAAATGAGACAGCAAAATCGAGCAAGAAAATTTGAATATCTGTTTTAACAGAGGACAAGGAATGTGATACTGAAATCTAAAGGTACATTGAAATAGTTTTCCAAAAGCTAATTAAAGTATTAAGAAACATGAAAATATCATTAGGAACAAAGAAAAGAGTAGTGAGCTGTTATATTATATCAGTCCTCCTATATGCAGTAAATATTGAAATTCTCCACAAAGATGAAGAAGAGAGGCAACAGAAATGTGGTTCTAGAGAATGATACTGAGAATACCATGGACTGAACATGTGATCAGATTTTAAGGAAAATGACAACAAAAAGAATCAGAAAAAGACAATTGAAATTTCTAGGACATAAAAAGGTTTGGGTATGGAGGACTTGGGGAATTTGACTTCCACAGGACATATTAAAGGCAAAAGGGTCAGGGGAAAGCTGTGAGTAACCTAACAAGGCTGTGTAAAAGGGTTGGATAGGAATTGAGAGGGATAGTGAAAAGGATAGGAAGTTGTAAGGAGCCATGATCGCCCACGTCCTGAAGGGACATGGCACATAGAAGAATAAGAAATGATTGTATCAGAAGAGGAGAGGCTGAGTAACTATTCTGCTGTAATTTTCAAATTTGGGAAATGAAAAAAATTTTATTTAATTCCTTTTAAAAATTATTTATGATTGAAGTTGGATAGAAATAAGTCGTCATAATTCCTGTTTTTGATTGACATCAGAAAACCTGTTAGATTTATCTGTTTCCCATCTTTTTTTACTTTGTTAAAAGAATTATCCCACAAATAATCATTTCAACTATATAAACTCCAGAAATGCAAGCAAATCCTGAAATTTCTTTTATACAATAAAACAAGATATGATTCCTGTATGCTTTAAGAAAAACATATATAATCGTGTTATTTGACTGGATGACAGAAACACAGGTAAAGATCTGTAACTCTTCATAAGGAAGGTAAAAAAACTGAAAAATATGTCTTCAAATAAGATGATTTCTTGATATGTCATAAATAAACTTGTTAAAGTTGACCTGTGTTCAGTATAAAAATGGCTGATAGGAATGGGTTCAGCAAGCCAGGAGTCTTTCTGGCAATGAAGATATCTTGATGGCCTATTTTATTTTATTTTTTTTTTTTTACTATCAGATGAGAATATTTAGAGCATAGTTAATGTCCAAAGAACATGAAACTAAAATTAGTTGTATTTTGGCTGGAAGCAATCTCCAAGGCATCTTATCTACCATATGGAAAAGTCGAAGGAATGTATTTATTGGCAAGTTATGCAAGAATTGTTCTAAAAAACATTTAAATATTAGTTACTTGCTGTGAGTAGAAAAGTAAGACCCCGAGTCACTTGAGGTGAAAAGAAATAGAAGATGTTAGGCATTTCTAAGAAGGTGGGTGGGAGTCTTATCTTGGAAAAAATGTGAAAATCTCCACAGAATCTATTCGAGAAAGGTGAGAGCCTAGAACTTTTAAGGGTGTCTGAACTTTGGGAAAATCTGATTTATTAATAGTTTGAACTGGCTCACAAGGGATTGGAAGCTAAGAAATATTATTAAAGAGAAAACAAAAAAAAAGTATGATAAATTAGAATATAATTAAAAAAAAGAAAAGAAGAAAAAGTATAAGATATAAAAAAGATTCCAGTAAAAACAATATTTATTTACTTCTACTTAAAATATTACTAACATAGATGTATACTATGCTTATATGATAATGTGTAATAATTATATGAAAAATCTTGGTAATAATTTTTTAGTATGATATCAATCCTCATTTGGGGATTCCATACTCTTTCATTCTCTGTTTTAGGCTTTACCAAAAGTAGTTTCATCCAACATCATGTTATAGACAAGCGTATGGTTGCAAGAAAGAAATACGACAACAGCAGAAATAGATTTACATGATTTATTTCAATAGGAACGTGCGGTTTTGGGACAGCTACCTTGTGGTATAGTTCATAAGCCGGCTTCTGATCTGGGTTGATCTCTTATAGTAGTTCTCACTGGTTGATGTGGCGCTTCTCCTGCTGACTGCTGCTGACTGTGACAGGTCTCTTCCCTGGCCTCCTGTTGACTGCTGTTGTACTTCACCGTGTGACCCCTTTTATGGCGTTTTTTATGGCTTAACAGGCTCTAAAAAACGACAAGTATAATGGGAGAAAGCATTTTTATTGGTCAAAAAAATAGAAACACTTTAAAATATTATTTTATTTTTCGACCGGAACTTGTGCATTGGGCCTATGCGTAAACGACGATAATGGTCATTTTGTGACGGGGCCTTGTCCCGTTCACATCCAGCTCTCGCTCTTGAGTATGTTATTTTATTTGCCTGCGAATCAGCCAAGATATGTCTTATTTTATTTTATAACAATCATAAACTGCTACAAAACCAAAACATGAACCTGAAAACTAGAGTCATGTCCTTAAATAACCTCGTTAGATCAAGACTTTCATATGGATGTCAGGCATGGCATCAAACCTGTTCAGAAATATCTAAACTGTCAGCTGTATATAACCGTTTTCTAAGATAAATGGTGAAAAAAAGGCTTTGAGCGAGTGAAACCTGGGGGTCTTGTCAAAGACCATCCTTCTTTGAAAATTTTAAACTGGTGCAACAGATTCAAAAACAAAGACTGTACCAAATAACAGTTAATACGGTTAAAGACAAAGACAAAAAATGACAATCAAGATGTTATTTCACACAACTTCATAGGTTAAGAAGAAAGAAAACACCCATCAATACTAGAAAGGGTGATAGCAGCTACTGGACTTAAGGAACCTATTTTCCTGGAAAACTGTTTAAAAAGAAAGATTTTATAAATTTCAACTAAAAGCAGTACTGGTTGCTTGGGCAATGAATGCCAAATGTTTCCTTGTAGGGAAAAAAAACTAATATTACAATTACCAGTAACAAAACCCTTATCAAGAAGAATTTTTTCTTGTATTTTTCACACAGTAACTTTTTGCATCTTAGTGGCTTTATTGCTTTGCTTGGGCTGAAATGATTAAATAAAAAAATAATAAAAGACTGCCACTGTGACAAGGTTTTGGAAGGATAAAATTTAGGCATTTCGTTGCATCATGAGCCTGAAAATGAAATCAACTGCAGCAAGTAGAATTTGAACATAGGTCATCAGTTTTATCTGAGTTGCTTACTACTGCACAGATTTGTGTCTCAGCATATCAGTGCCATAGCTTTATTTGTTTTTTCTAGTCTTCTGAAACAAAACAAAACAAAGTTGTGTGAAGTAGATCAGCATAATGTCTGGAGGTCAAGTAAATACCAAATTACTATAAAGTAGAGCTGGGGCTTTGTAATCTCAGAATTCGTGGGAGATTTGAGCTCCAATTTCAAATTTATTCATATAGATTCCATAATATAGGTTTTACTTAATTAGCTATTATGTTTCTCTAACTCTTCAAATGTTGAATGTATAACTAATTCTATTTTCTCATCTTTACACTATATTAATTTTATCTTTATAAATTGTCCCCTGTTCTGTCACCCATGAAATAAATGTAATTGCTTGTACAGAAAATAAGGATCTAAGTACATCAAATCATCTTTGAATTAAGTGGCAGCAGAAGAATTGTCATTGAACTTTTAAAAGGTAAGCTTAAACATTAATTCAATACTTAAATGCAGTTTATTGATACCTATTGCATCTACTCCTCCCTAGCTATTGTGATGATGGTCAAACCATGAGTCCTCCACAGGAGCTAGTTTAAATGCTGCCAAATAGGGTGACTTTTAAGCTAGCTTAAAATTTTAAGCTAGCTGCAATTTTGGATACAAAAGGAAAATAAAAGTTACTCTCCTTGAACCATGAAAGCAATGATAATGGCTAGTATAATATATTAATATATATCTTTAACCTCACATAATCTGGCAACCCTGAATCTAAGCTCAACGAAATTTGTTCCCTACGCCTAACTTTTCTTTTTGAAATCAGACCAGTAGGAGCAGAGGAGTTGCTTGGACACACACATGCACAAACACACATACACTGTACTTTATGTATAAGATGTTGGTGCATCCACCAACATCCTTTGAGGCCCAATTCTGCATTTGATGATTATGAAATCACCTTCTAGAGCAAGCTTAATGACACATAATTCTTTTGATGTTCTGAGGTAACACCAAGTACAAAGCTTATTTTGGTATTTCTTAGAGTGAACTCAGTACATATTGGAGTCACCATAGACCAACTTTTCTTAGATCAAAGTTTTCTTGATGGACATTAAATTCCTTGTTGTTGGATGTAGTTTATCATCTTACCCTGGACATGAATATAGTTTATCGTCATACCCTGGACAGCATAAATGTGTGATAATTCTAATTTCAGCATGAAACTTGAAGTTACAATTATAAGTCAGTGTCTTTGGACATATTTCTAGTTATTAATATTATATTTAATAATTTCACACTGTGCAAGGCAGTAAAAGACACTAGGATGTAAGGAGGTATTGAGAATGAAAGAAACAGAGAACAATAAAAGAACAGGATTCAAGGAGACGGAAGATAATAAGTGACATTGCATTTAAATTTTTGATGATCAAAGTTGATTGGGAAGCAAGAAGCTGAAAGTGAGTTTCACAAGTGAGAAATGAA